CGTCCCTGATCGTCTCCTCCTCCTCTCTCCTCCTCCTCTCCCGTGCGCTCCCCTACCCCGTCCTCTCCCTCCTCTCATTTTCCCCCCTCCTTTTCATCTCGGGCGGGGGAGTTCTGCGTTAGTCCTCCAATCTCGCTTCCCATCTCGGGATTCAACGTGAGCTCTGCTCTATCTCTACGACAGCATCAGACCCATGAAATGTACGCCACAAAGCACAGAAGCAGCGTAATGGACTTTGGCCTAACGTGACGTGTCCCGAGCACGGAATGGCAAAATATGCATGCGATGGGGATTATCGGAATTGATACGATGAACGCATAAGGACCTCTTCCTTCCCTATCACACCCCCTCCTCCACTGGCCTTCCCGCCTACTTGCGCTCATTCTCCAGCATGGCCTCCTTTCCGCCTCCCCCTCCTCCCATTTCTTATCCCCCATTCTCTCCTCCCATTCCCCCCTCCGCCCTCCTTTCCTCCACCATCCCTCCCCCTCCTCCCTCGTCCATCCTTCTCCCTCCTTCGCAACTCCTCCATTTGTTCGTCCTCCATCCGCACCACTCTCCATCCTCGCGACCGATCCTTCTTTCTCATCTCTCTCTTCACTCCTCATCCTCCACGTCCTTCCCACTCCCGTGTCTGATTCCTTCCGCCTCCTTCACTCCTCCCTCCTGCTCATACCTCCCCCATTTGCCCCCCACCATCCTCAACCTCCTCCTCCTCCTCCTGCTGCTCCTCCTCCTCCTCCTGCTCCTCCCACTTGGTGCGAACCTCATCCTTGCCGCTTTGGAGTCGGCGGAAGCTCCCATCGACCCTCCTGGACCACGGGCAGGCCAGCCCCCGCCGCTCCCCGAGGCGGCGAGGCGCAGCGTGCCGGCGCTGCAGAGGTCGAGCGAGGACCGCGGCCGGTCTGGCTCTCGAGCGGGGGGAGCCCCGCGGACCGAGGCGCCCGACGGCCTGTTGAGCTTCCCATCCGCGGCCCGCAGAGGTCTCGACCAGCCCTTGGGGGACAGCCTCCTCCTCCTCCTTCTCCTCCTCCTCCTCCTTCTCCTCCTCCTCTGCTCTTCCTCCTCCTCCTCCTCCTCTGCTCCTCCTCCTCCTCTGCTCCTCCTCCTCCTCCTCCTTCTCCTTCTCCTCCTCCTTCTCCTCCTCCTCTAGGGCACTGAATCTCCGTGGGCTGTATAGAGGCAGGGGAGGTCACCACCACCGGGAGTCCTCCCCCAGAGCGACACTCCACGTCGACGGTCTCCCTCGTGCCCTTCCTGAACCACGCGTTTGGGATCCATTCGTGATGCCCCCAGGAGCCCCGAGAGCGGCCCCCGGAGGCCGAAGCGGAGGGGAGAAATGGAGGACGCGGAGGGGCACGTAAAATATACGGTCGATTTCTTGGACATGCGCGGGTTTCTTGGATCTGCGCTGGATCCACCCTCCCTGGCGCGCGGAGCGCGCCAGGGGCGGCGCCGGAGGCGCCGTCCCGGGGGGGCCAGTGCGGATCCAAGAAGCCCGCGCGGACCGTCGAAAGTTCCATGTCTATGCCTGTCGCTTCCTTCTTCGGGGAGGGGCGCCGGGATTGCGGAGGTCAGTCCCTCGGACGTCTGGGCCAAGCCCCTGCAAACGGGGTGGTAGCGAAGGAGCCTCTACGAGCGAGTGCAGGGTGACAGGGCATTTGCCTTGCACCAGTGCGCGCTAAATGGGGACGGCAAAATCGTCGACATATCATCACAACTCTGGGCGGGGGGGGTACCTCGCACTTGTGCGCGGCAGATCAATGTTTCGAAGGCATAGGTGAAAACGCACCCTTAGCTGCCACCCCGTTTACAAACACCCCGTTTGCAGGGGCTTGGCGGGGGGTACCGCCCGCCCGCCATCCCCCACGATGGGCCGCGCCGGGCCGCCGCAGCCGTGGGCGCCGCGCCAGCGGAGGCACCGCGCCCACGTGCGCGCCGGCGGGCCCCGAAGCTGCGGGGCCGCGGCGGCGGCGTGCTGCGCGTGCGCGGCGCTGTGCGCGGCGCTGTGCGCGGCGCTGTGCGCGGCGCCGCTGGCGGGGCGCGGCTCGGCGGCATTCGCGCCCGCCCAGGCGGCTCCTCGCTTCCTCCAGGCCTTGCAGGTGGGTCCGAGAGCAGGTGGGGCCGGAGGACCGCTCGATGTGGAGCCCGATGTTCTCCACGCCAACGTCGCCGATGCAGCTGCATCGCCGACAGCGCCAGTGCATCGCCGACGCCGATACCAAGTAATGCGACGCGACCCGACACCCTCCACTCCGACCCCATCCTGGAGGCCCCGACTTCCCTGCTCCGTTGTTTCCCCTGCTTCGCCAGCTTTTCTTTGTCGGCCCGCCCTCTGATCAGGATAGAGTCGTGCGGCCAGGGCTGCTCCGCCGGCGAAGAGCCGGGCGCTCCTTTCATTGTTGTGTCTGTTCTTTCCCCGCAGCTCTGTGATGTGGTTACCTGTTGCACCGGCGAGTTCCCCAGTGATGTGGTTACCTGTTGCACAGGCGAGTTCCCCAGTGGTGTCGGAGGGTCGCGCTGCATACGCGGTGCAACGTCGGTGCGGCTCGAGGTGGGGCCTGGATTTTCCTCCCGCCGGCGTCGCCGACGCATTGTTGACGTCGCGGGGGAATCGGCGATGCATCGGCGATGCCGCATGGCTTAGTTCGCGCACGGCCAGGTGGTCGGAGGAGGAGGAGACGCAGGGCCCCTCTCGATCCCCAGATCTCCAGCGATGCAGTAATCCTGGCGTTTTTCCTCGAATTCGCCTTCGGGGTCCCGTTATAGGGCCCTGGGGCCACCAAAAATGAATCTTGGGCGAAAAACTCTCCACCGGCAAGGGATCAAGAGCTTTGGGGCCGCGTACTATTATATATATATATATACACAAGACTGCAGTGGCGCTTCGCGCCATGCACCTTGGTCCTTGAAGTTTGGTTTGCAGGCGGAATAGCAGGAAGATCAAGCCGACAATTCAGCGATAACTCCTTGCTGCATTTTCTGTAGTCGCCGCTATGATAGTGATATTCGTTATCCTTCCTCCATGCTTCTTTTTCCTCATGTTCGCCATACCCTGCGCATTCTCCCTATCCTCCTCAGCTTTTTTGTGCGGAGGCTTCTCCTGGGAGAGCCTCTGAGGGCCTAACAAAAACTGTCTTAGGCTTTCTTAAGGCCTTCTGGAGGCCTCCTGGGCGTATTCTTGGGGCCTCTGGGGGCTTCCTCGGGCCACCCTGCCTCCAACCGCGGTCTCCCTGGACGACCGGGTCACGATTTGGAATGCTTCGGAGGGTGTCTTGGGGCCATCTTGGGCCGCCATGGGGCTCTCTGAGGGCCATCTTGGACCCGTGTTGTGCCGTTTTGGGGCTCTCTTGGACTGCCTGGAAGCCCTTTCGGATGGTTGTGGGGCGATTTGGGAGCCTCCCAGGTGGCTTCGGACGCCCAGAAGACCGCCGTCTTGGAGCGTCGGGAAGCCGAAAAGAGGAGAACCCCAAAATTTACCAAACACTGTCAGAAAATCCATGATTTTTGCCTCTTGGGAGTGCTCTTGGAGGCCTCTTTGGGGCCGTCCTGGAGGCCTCTTGGGCCATCTTGAGGTCACGTCGGTCACTCTTGGAGCGCTCTTGCGCTGTCATGGGGGTCTCTGAGACGTCTCCGATGACCCCCCTGATCGCCCTAGGTGTGCTGGGAAGGCTTGGCAAAACGCCCTGCGCGGCCAGGGGGGCCGCTTCGAGGCCCGTAGGGTCCCAAAGCTCCAGATCCCGGGAGTCCTGTTTTTTTTTTGGGGGGGGGACGGGTTTTCCCCCCACCCGGGCTTATAAAAATATAGGAAGAGGAATACAAGACTGCAGTGGCGCTTCGCGCCATGCACCTTGGTCCTTGGAGTTTGGTATGCAGGCGGAAATGGCAGGAAGGTCAAGCCGACAATTTAGCGATAACTACTTGCTGCCTTTTCTGGCATCGCCGTTATGATAATGTTGTTCGTTGTCCTTCCTCCATGATTATTTTTCATCATTCTCGCCATACCCTGGGCATTCTCCCCATCCTCCTCAGCTCTTTTTGCGGAGGCTCCTTCTTGGAGAGCCTCTGGGGGCCTCACCAAAGTTCTCAGGCTTTCTTAAGGCCTTCTGGAGGCCTCCTGGGTGTGTTCTGGGGGCCTCTGGGGCTTCCTAAGGCCAACCTGCCTCTAACCGCGGTCTCCCTGAACGCCCCAGTCACGATTTGGAATGCTTCGGAGGGTGCCTTGGGGCCATCTTGGGCCGCCATGGTGCTCTCTTAGGGCCATTTTGGACCCCTGTTGTGTCGTTTTGGGGCTCTCTTGGACTGCCTGGAAGCCCTTTCGGATGGTTGTGGGGCGATTTGGGAGCCTCCCAGGCGGCTTCGGACGCCTAGGAGACCGCCGTCTTGGAGCGTCGGGAAGCCGAAAAGAGGAGAACCCCACATGCACCAAAAACTTCCATTGAATCAATGATTTGTCCCTCTTGTTGCCTTCTTGGGGGTGCTCTTGGAGGCCTCTTGGTACGTATTGGAGCGTTCTTTCGGGGTATGACAGCTTCATGGAGCACTCTTGTGTTGTCTTGGGGGTCTCTGGGACGTCTCCGGTGACCCCCCTGATCGCCCTGGGTGTGCTGCGAATGCTTGGCAAAACGCTGGAGCGCTCTTGGGCTGTCATGGGGGTCTCTGAGACGTCTCCGATGACCCCCCTGATCGCCCTAGGTGTGCTGGGAAGGCTTGGCAAAACGCCCTGCGAGGCCCAGGGGGCCGCTTCGAGGCCCGTCCGGAGGGTCCCAAAGCTGCAGATCCCGGGGGTCCAGTTTTAGGGAGGGGGTGATGGGTTTTCTCTCCGCTTGGGCTTATAAAAATATAGGGAGAGGAATACATTCCTCTTCCTATATTTTTATATGCCCGGGCGGGGGGGAAACCCGTCCCCCCCCCCAAAACTGGACTCCCGAGATTTGGGGTTTTGGGACCTTCCGGACGGGCCTCGAAGCGGCCCCCTGGGCCTCGCAGGGCGTTTTGGGCGATCAGGGGGGTCATCGGAGACGTCCCAGAGACCCCCAAGACAGCACAAGAGCGCTCCAAGAGTGACCGATGTGACCTCAAGATGGCCCAAGAGGCCTCCAGGACGGCACCAAAGAGGCCTCCAAGAGCACTCCCAAGAAGGCCCCAAGAGGCAAAAATCATTGAGTTTCCAAAGGTTCTTGGTGAATGTTGGGGTTCTCCTCTTTTCGGCTTCCCGACGCTCCAAGACGGCGGTCTTCTGGGCGCCCGAAGCCGCCTGGGTGGCTCCAAAATCGCCCCACAACCATCCGAAAGGGCTTCCAGGCAGTCCAAGAGAGCCCCAAAACGGCACAACACGGGTCCAAGATGGCCCGCAGAGAGCCCCATGGCGGCCCAAGATGGCCCCAAGACACCCTCCGAAGCATTCCAAATCGTGACCTGGTCGTTCAGGGAGACCGCGGTTGGAGGCAGGGTGGCCCGAGGAAGCCCCCAGAGGCCCCCAGAATACGCCCAGGAGGCCTCCAGAAGGGAAGAACGCTTGACACAATTTTTGTGAGGCCCCCAGAGGCTCTCCAAGGAGGAGCCTCCACAAAAAAGAGCTGACGAGGATGGGGAGAATGCGAAGGGTATGGCGAAAAAATTATCCTGGCGAAAGACCCAACCATGAGCAATTGTTGGTAACGCGTTGTGGGTGCCGCTTTCGGTGGGGCTCCATATGGGGCCACGAAGCGCTGCCTTGGATGGGGGAACCGCATGCGGACTGCGCCACCGGGGCGGGCCTTCGGTGGAGCTCCCTATGGGGCTACGAAACGCTGCCCTGGGTGGGGGAACCGCATGCGAACTGCGCCACTGGGGCCTTCGGTGGAGCTCCCTATGGTGCCACGAAACGCTGCCCTGGGTGGGGGAAGCGCATGCGAACTGCGCCACGGGGGCTTTCGGTGGAGCTCCCCATGGGGCCACGAAGCGCTGCCCTGGGTGGGGGAACCGCATGCGAACACCCCCACTGGGGCCTTCGGTGGAGCTCCCTATGGGGCCACGAAACGCTGCCCTGGGTGGGGGAACCGCATGCGAACACCCCCACTGGGGCCTTCGGTGGAGCTCCCTATGGGGCCACGAAACGCTGCCCTGGGTGGGGGAACCGCATGCGAACACCCCCACTGGGGCCTTCGGTGGAGCTCCCTATGGGGCCACGAAACGCTGCCCTGGGTGGGGGAACCGCATGCGAACACCCCCACTGGGGCCTTCGGTGGAGCTCCCTATGGGGCTACGAAACGCTGCCCTGGGTGGGGGAACCGCATGCGAACACCCCCACTGGGGCCTTCGGTGGAGCTCCCTATGGGGCCACGAAACGCTGCCCTGGGTGGGGGAACCGCATGCGAACACCCCCACTGGGGCCTTCGGTGGAGCTCCCTATGGGGCTACGAAACGCTGCCCTGGGTGGGGGAACCGCATGCGAACACCCCCACTGGGGCCTTCGGTGGAGCTCCCTATGGGGCCACGAAACGCTGCCCAGGGTGGGGGAACCGCATGCGAACACCCCCACTGGGGCCTTCGGTGGAGCTCCCTATGGGGCTACGAAACGCTGCCCTGGGTGGGGGAACCGCATGCGAACACCCCCACTGGGGCCTTCGGTGGAGCTCCCTATGGGGCCACGAAACGCTGCCCTGGGTGGGGGAACCGCATGCGAACACCCCCACTGGGGCCTTCGGTGGAGCTCCCTATGGGGCCACGAAACGCTGCCCTGGGTGGGGGAACCGCATGCGAACACCCCCACTGGGGCCTTCGGTGGAGCTCCCTATGGGGCCACGAAACGCTGCCCTGGGTGGGGGAACCGCATGCGAACACCCCCACTGGGGCCTTCGGTGGAGCTCCCTATGGGGCCACGAAACGCTGCCCTGGGTGGGGGAACCGCATGCGAACACCCCCACTGGGGCCTTCGGTGGAGCTCCCTATGGGGCCACGAAACGCTGCCCTGGGTGGGGGAACCGCATGCGAACACCCCCACTGGGGCCTTCGGTGGAGCTCCCTATGGGGCCACGAAACGCTGCCCTGGGTGGGGGAACCGCATGCGAACACCCCCACTGGGGCCTTCGGTGGAGCTCCCTATGGGGCTACGAAACGCTGCCCTGGGTGGGGGAACCGCATGCGAACACCCCCACTGGGGCCTTCGGTGGAGCTCCCTATGGGGCCACGAAACGCTGCCCTGGGTGGGGGAACCGCATGCGAACACCCCCACTGGGGCCTTCGGTGGAGCTCCCTATGGGGCTACGAAACGCTGCCCTGGGTGGGGGAACCGCATGCGAACACCCCCACTGGGGCCTTCGGTGGAGCTCCCTATGGGGCCACGAAACGCTGCCCTGGGTGGGGGAACCGCATGCGAACACCCCCACTGGGGCCTTCGGTGGAGCTCCCTATGGGGCTACGAAACGCTGCCCTGGGTGGGGGAACCGCATGCGAACACCCCCACTGGGGCCTTCGGTGGAGCTCCCTATGGGGCCACGAAACGCTGCCCTGGGTGGGGGAACCGCATGCGAACACCCCCACTGGGGCCTTCGGTGGAGCTCCCTATGGGGCTACGAAACGCTGCCCTGGGTGGGGGAACCGCATGCGAACACCCCCACTGGGGCCTTCGGTGGAGCTCCCTATGGGGCCACGAAACGCTGCCCTGGGTGGGGGAACCGCATGCGAACACCCCCACTGGGGCCTTCGGTGGAGCTCCCTATGGAGCCACGAAGCGCTGTAATGGGTGGGTGAAACGCAGAGAGGAGGGAGGAGAGGGAGGAGGAGGGAGGAGGAGGGGGAGGAGGAGGAGAGGAGGAGAGGAGGAGAGGAGAGGACGCGGGCACCGTCTCTTCAAAACGAGGACCCAACACCACAGGATGGTTGGGAAATAAAGAAGCATGGAGGAAGGATAACGAATAACATTATTTTAGCGGCGATGCCGGAAAAGGCAACAAGTAGTCATCGCTAATTTGTCGGCTTGAGTTTCCTGTTATTCCGCCTGCGTACCAAATCTCAAGGACCAAGGTGCATGGCGCGAAGCGCCACTGCAGTCTTGTACATATATATACACACGGGCGGTACTATGCTTTTGACCGTAACATGTCATCCGCCGAGACCCTGCCCCCCGTGGAATCTTAGCGATAGGTTTCTGGTCCGGCTGCGGTTCCAAGCCCAGGGGCCTCGCACCCTGGAAGAAAATTGTGATAGTTATGTGTAGATGTTTCTTTAACGCAGGGTGCTAATCAATCCGCCCCACAAAACATGGGATGGGAAATTACTCCGTTCTGGCCCAACTTACACCCTATTCACTCCGCGTGATCGTCACAGTCGGCTTCTTCGTCATCTGCGTCATCGTCATCGTCATGCCCGCAATGCTGTGTTGATTCAGTGTGTTCGTTTGCACATTGAGGCCGAGTGACCCTGGACACCCTTATCCAACACAGTCGCTCTTGCTTCGGCTGCAGCTTCCCCAAAGATTTCACTAGGGCTTCCAGATTGCAGATGGGGTCACGTTTGCGTCTTGAATCGGTCATCGGCGGCATGGGGCGCCTTCTGATTCTTGTCAGCCGACGGTCAAAAACCTTAGTACCTGGCAAGTGTGTATATAATTATATTATAATATAGTACAATCGAATACAGTATCATACATTGTACTACATAATACAATCTTGTACAATGGTAACCTAGTAGAAAAGTATATACTATAGTATAGCACCGTATCCACCACTATACTATAATGACTAAGTTTGTTATGTATTCCAACAGTCTACTATAATGTCTAAGTATGTTATGTATTGTTATTTAGTATATGTTTACATATATACACGCCTGGGGAAACCTATACGTATATATATATATATTCATATATATATATATATGCACACGTAAACACATATAGTCATGCATACATGTCTACATGCATACATACATACATCTGTACAAATAGACGTACATACATACATACATACATACATGCATATAGACAGACAGGCAGGCAGGCAGACAGACAGACAGACACACATACATACATACAGACACTTTTTTGGTCGGATGGTCGAGAGCGGGCCTCTTCCGGTTAAGAGATAGGCGGGGCGCGCGAAGCACTAATTGGGGAGACAGGGCGCGGGCGGGCGGATATATACAGACACACATACATACATACATACATACATAATATTTAGATTCATACATGCATGCATACAAACATACCTACATGCATGCATGCATGCATGCATGCATGCATGCATGCATGCATGCACGTGTCTATATACATTTAGAGAGAGGAGGATGTGTCCCGGGGTCGGGAGCTCTGAGGCCGCGGAGTTCACAAGTCATGTTGAAGGATGTCAGGGGATCGGAGGACGGGGGCCGCAGGGCCCGCTCCGATTTTATTGATCCAGTTTGATACCGAGTTCACCCGGCTCGATCCGACTCGGGGGCAGCGTTAGGGGGGATGGGCCGAGGGGAGGACTTGTCGACCCCCAATCGCCATTCATCGCCGATAGGCGCCGGATAGCCCACCCCGCTCAGAAGCATCCGTTTTCGCTATCTGGGGCCTATCGCCGATCGATCGGCGATTGCCCAATCCAGCTCGATGTTCCCTCCCCTGAGGGGGTCCTGCCCCATCGTTCCCCCTCGCAGGTGGTCGGAGGACGGGAGCCGCGGGGCCCGTTTCGATTCGATCGATCCGCTTCGGTGACGAGTTCGCCCAGCTCGATCTGGCTCGGTATCGGTTGCATGGCGCGGACGTGCATCCTGGCGCGGCCTGGCCGGTTCGACCTCGGCTCCGAGCCGACGCGGCCCGATCCGACGCACGTTCCGATTCGATCCGATGTCTCGATCCGATGCTGACCGGTCTCGGGAGCGTGCCGACGCCAGTGCCCTTCCCTCGCGTTGGCCTGTCTGCGCTTTCTGGAGGGGCCTCTTCGCCTCGGCCGGGTTCGCCTCGGGGTGTCCTGCTCGGGATGCGCCGCGGGAGAGGTCCGTCCAGGGGAGGGGGCAGCCGATCTGGCATCAGTTGCCAATGGAGGGGGCCGAGTACCTCCCAACGGCCCCTCGGCCACCGAAGACTCCCGAAGACGGCCGTAGGGAGGGGTCCAAACGTACCTCCACATTCGTACAGCCTTACGTCAATCAACCAATCAACTAATTCCTCATGTTCCTTCCTGCTTCCCCCAGGTGGGCAGCAGGCGTGGGTTGGCGCAGCTGCTGGGCTTGGGGCTCGCCGCTGGGCTCTCGGCCGAGCCCGCGGGCGCCGTGGTGGTCGCCTCTGTGCCCCAGTGGCAGGGCAGATACCAGGACCCCGAGCACAAGGGCTGCAAGAGGGAGATCCGCGTGGTGGGCCGCACCGTTCAGCTGAACGCCACCGACGGCAGGCCGGACTGCAAGGCGGGCGAGAAGGTGCGGGTCTGGAACACCACGGGCCGCCTGAGCCTCTCCCACTACTCGGACATGATACTGGACATGCGCCTGCGGGGCGGACAGGAGGAGGACCGTTTCCGGTGGATCGGCGGCGGCTTCGTGGCCCCCAGCGGCTACAAGTGGAGCAAGATCGGCTCCCTGATCGACGAGTGAGCGGGCCGGCCCCTCCGCTCCGTCCAGCCCTGCCTCTCCTGCGATACGAGTAGCTCCGGGCAAGCCAAAAGCTGATGCCAGCGCGTGGGCTCCAGGCAGCGCATTCGTGCAACACGTGCGGACACCCATGTTGTGAAGTCCCGTGCGTGGGGAGGCCTGCGCGTGTGCAACCTTCTGGGTGGTAACCCCATACGTGCAGAGCCCGATGCGCGCGGCGGGAGCTTCACGTGCCCGGGACCCCATGTGCGTGGACCCTCATGTGTGTATGTGGGGGGTATCAGGTGTGGGAACCGCATGTGCGTACAACCCCCCTATTTGTGAAACCCATGTGTGTGGAGCTCAAAGTGCGTTGACCCCGTGCGTGTGAAGCTCCATGTTTGCGTCACCACTTGTGTGCAACCCCATGCGTGTGGAACCTCATGCCAGTACCCCATGGCGCGAGAGCCGCCCGAACCAAACATACGATGCCAGATCTGTATTCTTCGCAGCGCGAATGAGAGCCGCTGAAGTGGACGCATCGGTTATAGTGGGCCTACAGCATTTCACAGAGAACCATTTTCGTCATCATCACCATCGTGGACTCAGAGCTGCAGAGCTGATACTAGCCGACGTGCAGATCATCATCATCGGCAGCAGCATCACCAGCATCACCATACATCATCACCACCACAATCCGTCATTAGTCATCATCATGGGATACACGTCCCAGGTAGCTCTGGCCGGTGTGTCCACGAAGAGGTGCGACCATGATCCTCACCATCTTCAGCAGCATCGTCCTCATTGCCTTCGTCGTCGTGCTCGCTCCGCTGTGCACACATGCCGGCCTGGCCTCCCCGCGCCGTCCAGGTTCGCGAATCTGCACGAGCTCAGGCTGAACAACTGCGCCATCAAGCCTGACGCGGCAGGGCGGGATGGCCTCTCCCTCTCGTCTTGCAAAGGCGCCGCGCACCGTCTCGGTTCGCTCACGCGCACGGGAGGGCACACGCCGCGGCGCGCGGGGGGGACCGTGGCGCGTGCGGCGCACCCGTGCGTCCTCTCGTTCGGTCTCTGGCTGCAGAGGGGTGCCACACTGGTCCTCCTCCTCCTCCTCCTCCTCCTCCTCCTCCTCCACCTCCTCCTCCTCCTCCTCCTCCTCCTCCTCCTCCTCCTCCTCCTCCCCTCCTCCTCCTCCTCCTCCTCCTCCCCTCCTCCTCCTCCTCCTCCTCCTCCTCCTCCTCCTCCTCCTCCTCCTCCTCCTCCTCCTCCTCCTCCTCCTCCTCCTCCTCATCCCTCCTCCTCCTCCTCCTCCTCCTCCTCCTCCTCCTCCTCCTCCTCCTCCTCCTCCTCCTCCTCCTCCTCCTCCTCTCCCTCCTCCCCCTCCTCCTCCTCCTCCTCCTCCTCCTCCTCCTCCTCCTCCTCCTCCTCCTCCTCCTCCTCCTCCTCCTCCTCCTCCTCCTCCTCCTCCCCATCCACCTGCGAGGGGTGCCGGCAAGCCTGCGCCGCGGTGGTGCGCTCCTCATCGCAGAGGGCACTCCTCGCGGGCAGCAGCAGCCCTGCGAATCGAGCCTCGCGTCGACGGCGCCTGAGGCGGCCATGCGCCGCCCCCTGCTCTCTCTGGAAACGCCGGTGCGGCCAAGCGTGGGGCCAAAGCCCGGCCACGCTGCTGGACTACTTGCTCCCCCAGCCGTCGGGAAAACCCTTGGGGGGCCGGGACGCCTGGGAGAGAGAGAGAGAGAGAGAGACGATGACGACGACGATAAGATGGAGGAGAGGGGGAGGAGGAGGAGCAGGACAAGGAGGCCTCTCGAGGCCGTCTGGTGGCTCCCTGGGGGCGTCCTGGGAGCCTCTTGGGGGCTTCTGAGAGGCCCCTTCGGGGTTGGGGCCTATTGGGGATCCCCTGGTGCCTCTTGGTGGATTCTTGGGGGCCTCCGGGGGCCTCTGAGGGACCTCTTTGCCTTCGGAGGCCGTCTTGGCGGCCTCTCTGGGAAGTCGTGGGTCCCTCTTTGGGCGCTGTAGGGCCGTCTTGGAGGTCTCTGGGGCCGTCTTGGGGTACGCAGGGCGCTGCTGATTCAAAACGAACCCGACACCACAGGACGGCTGGGAACAAATGACAGACATTTATCATTGGAAGCAGGTGGAAGGACGTGTGGGCGGTGGGCCGTTCCGGCGACAGGCGAGGGCCAAGGGCGGTCGGAGACATGCTTGAGCGAACGAGATGGGCGACGCGCAGTGTCAGGGGACGTTCGGGGACGGAGTTGGCCGAAGCACGTTTGCGTCGCGCGAGGTCCGCGAGGCAGTCGGGGATAGAGCCGAGCGAAAGCGATTGGCTCGGGGACGTATGAGGTCCGCGAGGCAATCGGATACGGAGCAGGACAGGTGAAATTGGCGCCACGCACGGGCACTTGCTCATCCTCGACAAACTTGACCTCACAAAGGTTGACACGCCTTTTGAATGTCGCCTACTCTCAGAGCCGTGAATTACCTACCCCGCTTTCGCTTCCAGGCAAAACCAAGCCATACCACGCGCCTCCTCGTCAAGCGGCCTGACCAGTACAGGCTGCAATTTGGCATCGTTTGGTATCTCTTGGAAGCGAGGGTGGTCAAAAGCGAGGTAGGTTTGTTTTCCCCCTATACTCTCGCCGCTCCGATGTCGCGGTCAGGGCAGGTGGGATTCGGAAGTTCTACGATGACCGACATTGGAGATGGGGCGCCAAGAAGCATGTCGCACGGGTCCGTGGGCATTTTGGCTCAAGCCGCCGTGGCTCGAGCGTGGCTCAGCGCAAGCGCTGCGCAGCCGTGCCCTGCCAGCCATCGCTGGTCTCAATCATCCTGGCCCTATGCACTCGGTTGCGGAGTGGGTCATCCTGTTCTTCTCGGTCACCTTGCTGGGGCTCTACGCCGCGGTCGTGGCGTCCAATTCGTCGCGCATGGGCCTCCTGGAGGTCCTCGCCTGGCCCGGCTGGAGGCGCACTCAGGACAGGGAACAGCCGCTGATGGGCGCCCGTGTAGCGAAGTTGCTGGACAGGAAGAGGGGCGATATGGTCATGGTGGCGACCTCGGTGTTGCAGTTTGCCATGGCCATTCGATTGCTATTAGGCGCGGTGAACATAGTCAACAGCAGCGGCCGCCTCATGAACTTGAAGCAGGACGTGGTAGTGCTCTCTCTCTTTGGCTTCTACTTGGTCGCTTCTTTGAACCACAAGTTCTGGCCTGTTCGCGTGAACACTCTGCTCGTGTATGTCTCGACGATGATATGTTCCACAGCGTTCGTGATCGCCACGACCAGTTCGCGTAAGGGGATTTTGCAGGTCAACATCTTCGCTTTTCTTCCACGCGTCATCATAAGCAATGCGTATGTTAAGTCTGGGACGGTATGTTTGTTTTGTATCTTGCACAGCTTTGCAGTGACTCTGACGTTCAGTTTACGACCTCCAGAAAGCCAGAGCGAGCTTGCCATGCGCGAAGACGGATACAACGCCCATCCCGCAGACGGTCTCGCGAGCATCGGTCCGGTTTCTTTTTTGTCGATCGACATGCTCTGCTCCCTCCTCGTGGTGCTCTCCACCCTCGGCCAGGAGAGGATGATGACCATCCACGCGCGCCAGGAGCTCGAGGTGACCGCGAAGCGCGGTGAGACCACCGCCACCCGGAGGCTGCTGAACACGATCTGCGACGCCACCTTCGAGCTCGATGAGAACCTCAAAATCGTCGACGACGCGCTGGAGCTCGCCAGCGCGCTGCAGCGCGGCTGCGACCGATCACTGCGGGGCACGCAGGCGGAGCAGCTGCTGGTGGCCGAGGACCGGGCGCTCGTCAGGGAGCGCATCGCGTCGCCCGTCCCCGCCAGCCAGTCCATGGCCAACGTTCTGCACGTTCGTATGCGCGACAGCCTCAACAACATCCTCAGGGTCGAGCTCTTCCACGTCCCCGTCGCCGGCTCGCTCATCGGCGCCTCGCACCTCATCGGCGTCCGCGAGTACGCGGACCACGCGGAGCCGCTCCCGGAGCCCTGGCCGAGCCGCGGCGAGGTGCCGAGCGCGCCGCCCCGCGGGCCGCTGCCGCCGGCCCAGAGGCTCGGCACGCCCGCGGTCGCCCCGCTCGAGTCCGCCAGCAGCGGCTCCGACGCCGCCAGCGCCCGCGAGCCGGCGGACGGCGCGGACCACGGCGGGCACCCGCCGCGGCAGCCGCCGCCGGGCCGCGGCGAGGCGCGGGGCGCGCGCGCTCCGCGGGCGTGTGCGGTGGACGCCCCCGGCACGCCGCGCGCGGCGGCCCCGTGCGAGGCCGCGGGGGGCAGCGCGGGGGCCGCGGCGGCGGGGCGGCTCTGCTCGGGCCCCTCGCCGTCGGGCAGCGGGTGCAGCGAGAGGAGCGCCGCGAGGGACGGCGTCGGCCAGGGCCGCCAGCTCAGCATTTCGTCGTACTACCTGAAGCTGATGGTGCAGAGCCTCTCGGAGGACGCTCGTCGAGATCGGGAGGCCGGGGGCAGCGGGGAGACGCTGGCGCTGTGACGGCCCGCGGGGCGGTGACGAAGAGCTGCCAGCATCGCGCAAGTCACGATTCGATTCAGGCCCTTCCTGGCGGTCTTAGGCGTCTGGCACCACACTCGTGCGACCGCCGACCGTCGCCAGGCACCGCGTGCCGCCGCTGTGGGATGGAGCCATCAGGCCGCTGGCAGCGGTGCCGCACTGGTGCCGTGACGGCCCTCGGGGCGGCGAAGCTGATTTGCTTGCTTTCCCATGGATCTGTTGCTCACGTAGTTTCGCAGGTGGCATTCGCGATGCGCACAACGCTATCCTGACCCCACGGCGTGGGTGCGGGCCTCCAAGCGGGCCCTCCTGCGGGCCTCGTGGGGCCCCCTCGGGGGCCTCTGGTGCTGGCCCTGGGGGGCGGAGACGCGGAGCCTCCACACACCGTCGGCGTCCAAGAGGACGCTTCCTCTGCTCTCGGAAGGGGCAGGAGGGAAAGAAACACACAGACACAATTCATCGGCGATTCCTGGGAAAATATGGGAAGTGGGGGGGAAGACAAAAACCCAGAAGATATGGGAAAATCCGGGGAATCTTTTGATTTGTGTGTATTTATTGGTGAGTCCCAGGGCCCCTTCAAAGGAGCTGTTGTTCATCATTGGGGAAGTTCTCGCTTCGTGGTGCTTTCCAGCAGCTGCGCCTCGTCGGGCGTGGGGTGCCCGAATCGCCCCGAAGGGCCGGCGGCGGCCCGAGGCAGGACCCTGGAGAAACCGCTGGGGGGGGGGGGCGTGCTGCCTTGGGGCCTGGCCTGGCCTGGCCCCCCCGTCCTGCTCCGAGCCCCTCCGCTCCCCCACCTCCTTCTCCGAGGCCCTCCCCTTCGCCCGCCTCCCCGCGTCCTCCTCCCAATCCTGCTCCTTGCCCCGGCCCTCACCCTCCCAGACCTCCGACGCCATGAAAAAATCAAGACGGAGGTTTCTCTCGATGTTCGGCCTCTGGCGGCCCTCGCCGGGCCCCGGGACCGTCAAAAAACGACTAAGGATGAAAAGCCGGTCTTGGGGAATGGGTCGAGACTTCCAGGGACCCCGTATTGAAAAAAACACGACATCGGATCTCTGGGACCCTTGCTCACCTCCCTGACACCCGCCGGACTGTTTTTGACCCATTCGTGGACCAAGAAGCCCCGGCCGCTTCCCTGGGATAGTGTTACGTCTCGGCGCATATGTTTGATCATCCCGGCACCCGAGAACGGTCCGGGAGGGCCGGAATCGAAGAGCACCCGCCGGGGGGGGGGGGGGGGGAAATCGGGTTGTCAGAGATCTGGGCTTCCTGGGCACCCTCCTGGCCGCCCCCGGGGCCTGCTCCTCCTCCCCCGGCCGGCGCGGGCCCGCTGCGGTGGGGAGGCGCGGGCCATTTCCGACCTGCTCAGCGAGCACCCGCAGCTGAGGAGAGGGCCCCTCCTTCGCGCCACTGTCGCGCCCCGCCTCCACGTGGAGGGCCCCATCCCCTCTCTGGCCTCCTCCTCCTCCTCCTCCTCCTCCTCCTCCTCCTCCTCCTCCCCCTCCTCCTCCTCCTCCTCCTCCTCTTTGTCCTCCTCCTCGTCCTCCTCTTTTGCCTCCTCCTCCTCCTCCTCCTCCTCCTCCTCCTCCCTTTTCGAGCTTCGAGCTTCACTGGTTGCTCCCGCTGCTGATGCTGCTGCTTGCAAGAGGCGGCTCCTGCCGCCGCCTTGGCGCGGTGTGTTTGCGCCATGCGGCGCCCGCCCGGAGCTCGGGGAGCAGGGCGAGGCCGGGGAGCGCCCGCCGCCGTCCCGAGCGCCAGCGGGCGGGGCGAAGAGAACTACCCAGACATGATCGCGTCGTAAAAAAATCAGGACGGGAGGTTTTTGCATATTTTCGGCCTCGGGGGGCCCTCGCCGCGCCTCGGGACCGTCAAAAAACGACTCAGGACGAAAAACCGGCCCCGGGGAAAGGGCCGGGACTTCCGGGGACGCCGTCCTGAAAAAAACAGGACGTCGCATGTCTGGGTATGCACATGCACCGATCCTGGCAAGGCCCATCTTTGACCCAGGATCGGTGCATATGCCTTCCTGGCCAAGGTAGGAGGGCGTATGCACCGATCCTGGGCTCAGGATGGGCCTGGCCAGAATCGGTGTATGTGCATAGTGTTTTTGTTCCTCTAAGCGGGCGGGACGAACTCCGCCTCCGCGCTCGTAATTATCCTCCGAGCTTCGAGCTCGGGGCGGTTCTGCTGCTGCGGATGGCGCCCTGAACCCCTCCCCCTGGTCAGGGGTAGAAGAATCCAAGAGGCAAAGAGAGAGAGAGAGAGAGGAAGGAGACGGACGATGTGACGACTGGTCCATGGTGGGATGCATCGATCCCCAATCGCCCATTCATCTCCGATAGCCCACCCCGCCCAGGAACTTGCGGCTTCGCTATCGGGGGTCTACCACCGACCTATCGGAGGGGACGTATTGCCGATTCCAGATCGATGTCCTCTCCTCCCCCGAGCCAGTCCCTCCTCATCGCTGCCCCTTACATATGTTGTGTCCTCCTGCCGCCGTCTTGGATCGAGGATCGAGGCTTGTGGTCGTGCCTGACACGTTGATGGCCCTCTGGAGGCCTCACGTCTGCGCGTTGCGAAGCAGTGACGACGGGCGTCTTCGCCGCGTGCTGGGCCCCTGGGTTTTCGTGTGTCGACCCGGCTCGATGAAAGCCCAGCCTGCGTCAGGGTGGTGTCGGAGGCTCAGGCCATGATTTGTGCACGACGTCGCTTCGTTTACGACGTCGCGTGTTTGCCCTCCGCGTCCTCGTGTCTCTCCGCCCGGTGGCCCACGGCTCGGAGGTTGGCAGAAGCCTCATCCTGCCATGCCGACTCGCGAACTGCCCTTTCTGGCTCTCGAGCGGGCGCTGCGGCCGCAGCTCCTGCGGACCGGCGCCCTCTTGCGGCCGGTCGGCCCCCGCGGGCCGTCGGCCGTCGGTCCGTAGCGGGTGATCTGCGAGAACTTGGGCTCGCCGTCCACCCCCCGGAGCACCGCACGGCGACTGCACGGCGCACCGCACGGCGACTGCGAGATCCAGGCGCCTCCTCACACCTCCTCGGTGCGTTCTCTCGGGGTCGACCGAGGCATGGCGCGCTTCGGCTGCCGCGGCATGCCCCAGAGGCCCACCTCTCTCGGCGCTCTTCCATCAGGCCCTCGTCCTCGCCCTTCTGTCACTCGCCTCCTCGTTGTGTGTCGCGGGCTATGGCTCCTCGTCGTCCTCCCGATGTTGTCGCTTGCGGGCGGCCTCCGGAATCCCGTTCCGTCCGTCCCCTCCTCCTCCGCATGGCTGCTGCCGATTTGTTACGCTTTTCTGTTCCTTCTGCTCCGTCTTGCCCCGTTGCTCTCCGTCCCTTGTCTGATACCAGAATAGGTACGGGCGCTCCAACCTCAAGAACCGGTGGACTTTCTGTTTCCATTTTCCCGATCCTCTAAACGTTTTCTTGCACCATGTTTTAGGTCCAAGGCGTAACGTGATCGTCTCGAGGAGGTGACAGTCTCACAGGCACGAGGAGGACGAATGCGAGGGGGTAGTGGATGGGTTACGTTGCATCTTCGGGGGACCTCGCCTGTCCCTAAAATTGGTGTCTTTTCTTGTGCCCAACGCGAGCTCGATGCGGACTCGACGCGGATTTGGCGTGGATTTGACGCGGATTCGCCACGGAATTGACACGGATCCGACGAGTCCGACACGGATTCGACACGGATTCGATTCGGACATGACCGCGACGAGACAGACAAAGCCCCTCGAGGATGCAACACAAGATGGGCCTGGATGGGCGCGGGGAGCAGGAAGAGGAGGCGGCTGAGGACGGAGGAGCAGGCAGCCTCAAGCTGTTTTCTTGTTGGGGCTTCCTGGGGGGCCCTCGTGGCCACGGCTGGATCGGCTGGATCTGCCTCGGCGCTTTGGCCAGAGCGCGCTCCAGGACAGGTGCGAACATACAGATTGACCATTAAGAGGAGAATGAGGAGTAGGAGGCGGAGGAGGAGGAGGAGGAGGAGGAGGAGGAGGAGGAGGACCACGACGACGACGAGGAGTGTGCGAGGATTCTTCGCAGAACGTTCGAGGGCAGTCGCCTGGACAAGAGGAGGAGGAGGAGGACATTCATGAGGGCTGTGACGAGTATGGATGGAAGGAGGAGGAGGAAGAGGAGGGATGAGCAGGAGCAGGAGCAGGAACAGGCAGCGCGACGAGGCACGGGGAGGGGGAGGAGGACATCGAGGAGGACGGAGGAGGGAAAGAAAGAGTTGTCATTCATCGAGGCTGCCGAAGGCTGCGTTACATGCCCCAGCTCCCGCGAAATGCGCCGGTCATCTGCCGTGTGGTATGGTCGTCTAGATTGGACATCCCTACCTTTCGCAAGACTGCGTCGCAGGGCCGAGCAACATTTGAGTTGAGTCATGCCCAGCCGACACCGTTCAGTTGAGTCATGCCCAGCCGATAGCGTGCCTTCTACAATGCATGTGATAGTCGGGGTGCACAGCTCGGTTCTTTGAACGCAGCTTGGCCAGAGACGAGAGACACGAGAAGGGACAAGGAGGATTAGGTGGGAGGGACCTCCAGCCTCGGTGGCAAAGCATGGGAGGCGTGCGTGCCATCGCAATTCCGTCTTTCGGGTGTTCATGTTTCGCAACGAGTGGGCGTCCATTTAGCGTCGATTAGCGTCGGCGAGCGTCGATTCGCAAGAGCATGGTTTGCCGCCATGGTTTGCCGCCGAATCCTGCTGCCTTGCCTGGTCGAAAGAACGACGAACAGAGGAGTGGGTTTAGCCCCAGTCGGCTGACGACTGGACCCAGACGCCGAACGCGCTCGGAAGGGTTCCATGCCCAGAGGCCTCCAGAGGCTAGACATTGCATACCATGTCAAACACAGTTAAAACACCCAGCTGTCCTCGTCCTCCTCCTCCTCCTCCTCCTCCTCCTCCTCCTCCTCCTCCTCCTCCTCCTCCTCCTCTCACTCAATCAGTGAATCGATCAGAGTGCCCCCTCGTCTTGCTTTCATCCTCGTCCGCCTCCTCCGTCCCCTCCCCCTCAGCCCCCTCCTCCTCTTCCTCCCTCACTCCTCCTCCTCCTCCTCCTCCTCCTCCTCCTCCTCCTCATCCTCATCCTCATCCTCCCAGGCGTCTTTTATCCTTCTCCTCCTCCGCCCTCCCTCCCTCCCTCCCTCCCTCCTCCCCTTCATTCCCCGCGCACCCCTCCTTCCGTGCAGTCCTCCTCGCCCTTCCTCTGCCTCCTCGATCCAGGAGGCCCCCCTCCCGTCCCTCCACGTGGCCCCCAGGAGCGTCTGCCTGGACAGCAACCAGCTCGGCAGCGAGGCCCCCCCCCCCCGCCGCGGCTGGCTGCTCGCCGTGGACGCAGCGAGCCGCGCCCGACCCGTGGCGGGCTCCTTTGTGTCCACGCCCCGTGTGGCCCTGCTGACGACGGCTTCGACGACGACGACGCTGACCACGACGACCGCCACGGCGACCATGGCGACCACGGTGACCACGCCAACCACGGCGACCACGCCGACCATGACGACCACGACAGCCACGGCGGCAACCACGCCGTGCATCGCCGTGCGGAGCGTTTGCAGTGGTTGGCGGAGGGGTTCATCGGGGGCGCATCGGGCGTTGCGCAATGGGGGCGCGCTTGAAGGGGGGGCGGAGAAGGGGGGGTGCACCTGTTGTGCCCTGGAAGGGCCCTGAAAAGATGCCCGAGAGGTGCACGTTTCTTTGCCTTCCCCCCTCCCAGTACGCAACGCCCAAGGCGAGGATTGGGAATCTGGGGGAGGGGGGCGAGCACCGCCACGTCGGCGAGCGGGCGGCGGTGGCGGCGCTTCGGTCTGGGGCGCCAGCCCCGACGCAAAGGAGCGCTCTGGGTCCCCTCGCCGCCGACGGGCCTAGGCTACCAGCGTGGTCTCTCTCTCTCTCTCTCTCTCTAGAGAGAGAGAGAGAGAGAAAGAAAGAAAGAAAGAAAGAAAGGAAGAGAGAGTCGAGGCGGAGGTTGTTCGCAGCAGTGGACACAGGCTAGGCCTCCCGGATGAGCGACAAGAATAGCGGGTTCGTCGTCGCCGGAGTTGTCGCGTACCTGCCCCTCGTAAGGCCGCGCGTGAGCGCCCTCTTCTCGATTCGGTGTGCCAGGCTGGAGGCCCGCCAAGCCACCGCGGAAGGTCGCCATGCGCCATGCCATCTCGCGTACTCCAGATTTCGTAATAAAAGGGAGGGGGTCCCTCCAAGACAAGCCATTTTAGACCCCCCCCCCCCTGGGAGAACCCTCCAAAGCATCGTCCCCAGACCCCCCCAGGCCCTCCAAGATAGCTTGGAAAAGACCCCCCCCGAAATGAGACCCTCCTCCCTTTATTACGAAATCTGGAGTAACGCTCCTGTTTTTTTCGTCGCTCAGATGGGGTCGGAGCAGATGGGGTCGGCGGATCGCGCCCCATCGCGGATGCCTCGGCGATGTTGTTTGATGCTGAGCCCGATGTTCTCCACGCCGATGTCGCCAATGCATCGCATACGTCGCCGATGCATCGCCGATGCATCGCAGCCCATCCAGGAGGCCTCCACACATACGATCAGAAAGCTTGATGTAAGACACCTTGGGACGCATTCTTCGTCGATCTCTGAGGGTCTTCAAGGTGCCCGGAGCTCTGGTGGGCCCAGGGCTCCGCATCGGTTTGAAAACAAAAAACTTGGCGCAGGCTGTTCGCTGGTTTCGGCCCCTGGGGTCCGTTGTCATGCCCCGGGGCCAGCAAGAGCGATCCAGGATGAGAGTTCAGCCCCGAGGGACGGGTCGGAATTTCTGCCCCCCTCCCGCGTTGAAAAAGGCACGACCAGCCTGAGGTCGATCGGGGTCTGGGGGGGGGTCTTTGAGCCCACTCGGCATCTGCGCTCTTGTTGTTACCCAGCGGACGCATCGAGCCCATGCGGATGCCGTTTGGGCCAACTTCCCACCACCCTGTTGGAGTTGAGCCTGTTCGACTGCCCTCGCTGCAGCCGAATAGACTCATTAGAGGGGAGCCCTGGCCGAGGGCCGCCGACTGGAGGGGCAGCAGCAGGGATGAGAACGCTCCTTGGCGTCCGACGATCTGTTTTTTCGACCCGCGGCCCCAGAGGTCCCGACTCCAGGGGCCAGGCCGCCGCGGAGCATCCAGGTTGAACGTCCATGAGCTTGCTGGTTGCCTGTGGCGGGAAACACATTCTTTTTTTTTGTTTGTGTTCTTTATGCCCGAAAACAGCCCCCAGGGTGCTGACATCGAGGCACGACGCCCCGAAGGAAGCAGCCAGGCCGTCGGAGCTCCGGGCTCGAGGATCGGGGCCCGCCGAGCGAGCGCTCCTGCGGCCCTCCGGGCCGCGCAGGGGCCTCATTAAGGGGGCCTCGGAGGCCGCCGGCTTCTGCGGCGCGCGTTGCGTCTTCACCGCGGGGCCTCTCAGACCCGAGGAGGCTGGCTTCCAGGCAGCTGCAGCAGCAGCTGGGGGCGAGGGTATAGAAGCGAATCCCGGGGCACCCCGGGGAGGAGGGAGCCGCAGAGTCGAGGATGGCACATGGGGGTTAAAAGCCGGAGGTTGCCAGAGCCTCGACCTTGCCAAGCTTGATCAGCGGATGGCCCTCGGTTCTCGAGAGGGTGTTGCGCATGTTTGCGGGCTTGCGCCCGCCGGGTCTGGGCCCGGGTCTGTTTGTCTCAAGGCGCCTGTGGCTAAAGGGGGTCTGTCCTCCCCCGAAGGAGGGATGGCAGCGGATGGGGGGGAGGGGGGGAGCAGGGAGGGAGGGGGAGCAGGGAGGAGGAGGAGGAGGAGGAGGAGGAGGAGGAGGAGGAGGAGGAGGAGGAGGAGGAGGAGGAGGAGGAGGAGGAGGAGGAGGAGCGGCGACTGCTCCCTTCACCACGAGATAGATGGAGGAGCAGAAGGCGGAGGAGGCCAGGAGAAATGGGGGGGAGGAGGGAGGGCTGCCTCGGAAGCAAATCATGGAAGCTTCGCATGTCCCCGTAATTTCGTAATCCGTTTGAAGACCGCATCAACGTGCGCTAGCGGCTAGCGTCTGGTATTCGATGAGAAAGCGCAGATTTCAGCGTCGACTATAGCATCGGTTCTGCGTCGACGAGTGTCGATCAGCGTCGGCCAGCGTCGACTCGCAAGGGCCAGCAATGTTGCAGTAATTGCTGATCATGCGATCGGCGATCACAGATCACAGCTATCGGGGGATCACGTGATCGCCGATCGCGCGATCGGCTCGGCTCGATCACGCGATCGTCCGAGCTGCGATGCGGGATCGATCCGCGATCGGCGCGGCGTGATTGTAGCCATCGTAATCAGGGCTGCGATCGTTCCTCCATCGTTTCGCTACGAATGGTGTGCCTGTAAGGGGTTGGAGCCTATCATGCAGCGCGTGGCCAGATGTTTGCGTGTGGTAGACATATGTGTACATATTTACACATGTACAGTCAAAGTGAGAGAGAGAGACAGAGACAGAGATAGAGACAGAGATAGAGACAGAGACAGAGGCAGACAGAGACAGAGATAGAGATAAATACGTGCACACAGCTGATGCACAGGAAATCACATAGCTCATGTACAGAAAAGCGCGCACCCCTCGTGTTGCATTACTGCTCCCGCCCTCTAGTCGCCTGTTGCAAATCCTGCAAATCATCCTCACGTCTCCTCCTACACACGGGTCGTTGGAAGTATGTATTTCTGGATACCCGGATCCCAATCTACTTTAGGTGCCTTCCTACTTCAAGGATCGACTGGTTTCTTTCTTCTCTCCTCTTCAGTGGCCAGGCGGAAACCCAATCTACTTCTAACGCCTTCCTATTTCATGTTTCTACCCACATCTTCCGACCGGCGTGTACTCCTCACTAAATTCTGCTGCCTCCCTTCCTCTACTTCCCTTCTACTTCTCTTTCCGCCCTCAATCTTCCCCGGTCCTCCCCCCTCCCTCCTCCGCCTCTATCTTCTTCGTCTCTCCTCCTCTTTCTGCCCCTCACCATCATCATCATCATCAGCATCAGCATCAGCATCAGCATCAGCATCGTCATCATCAGCATCAGCATCACCATCATCATCATCATCATCATCATCATCATCATCATCATCAGCACCAGCATCAGCTTCATCATCATCATCATCATCAGCATCAGCATCAGCATCAGCATCAGCATCAGCATCAGCATCAGCATTAGCATCAGCATCAGCATCAGCATCGGCATCGGCATCAGCATCAGCATCAGCATCGTCATCGTCTTCCTCCTTCTCTTCGAAAGCGTCATGCTGCCACTCGTCCACTCTGAGGCCGTTTCTTAAGTCCGATGCCGAAGGACGCCTTGCGGAATTACCTATGATGTTATTCGGCTAGTGATTTGGAACAAAATCGTCTTCCTCCTCCTCTTCGACATGCCGCGTCACGACCTTCTTCTTCGGAGGCGTGAGCCGCTGCAGTTCTCGACCCCCGTGCCTGGACCGCTTCTGCTCGCCCCGCGGCGCTTCTCCAGGGCTCCGGGGCCCGGGGGCGGGCCTCGGGTCTCCAGCCCGAGGCGGGCAGTTGTGCATGACCGCCGCCTGGAGGGCCCGTGTTCGGAGCCTCGGCAGGCGGTGGATATGGACATCTGCGGGCCCCCGGGGGTCGAAACAGATCCACGTCCACCGCCCGCTGGGGCACTACATACATATATATATATATATATATATATATCGATATAGATATACATATATATACATATATGTACATGTATGTATATGCATATGTATGTATATATACATATATATATAGGACGTCGGTTCCCGGACGGTGGATCTGGAGAAGTCCCTGCCTCGCAGCCTGAGGCCGACGTCGAGGAGGGCCGGGGCCTTCTGTCACGCCGGCGGCCCGGGCCCGGATCCCTCGCCTGCGCCCCCCCCCCCCCGCCCGGCCCCCCCGGCCTGCCCGTGGCCGCCGGGGCCCGCGGGCGAGGGGGCCGTGGAGCTCTGCATGGGGGCCTCTCAGTCGACGTCGCTCAGGCGGCTCCCGCCCGTGGAGGGCGGGGAGGGGGAGGAGCGGCGGAGCCAGGAGCGCTGGAGGAGGGGCGAGGAGCGGCGGAGGGGCCGAGGAGGGGGGGGAGGAGGCGGGGAGGGGAGGGGAGGGCGGAGGGAGGGCGGAGGGCGGAGGGCGAGGAGGAGTTTGGCAGGAGGGGGAGGATCGAGAGAGGAGCGGGGAGGCTGGCCGGCGGATCCTCACGGGCGGGTCGGGCGGACCCACCGGGCGGTTCGGGCGGGCGGACCCTGACGGGCGGGCCAGGCGGTCCGGGCTAGAGCGGGAGGGCGGGCTTCGAAGCAAACGAACAGGTGGACCTTGACGGGCAGGTGGGGCGCTAAGGGGCGGGCGCAGAGGGGCGGGCGGGCGAACCCTAACGGGCGGGCCGGGCGGGACATGAAAGCTGCGGGCTTCCAAGCAGGGAAAAAAGGCGTTCTGTGGACGCTTGGAAGGGTGGGTGTGCGAATTGAGGGGGCCTGACTTGTAAGGGGCGGATGGTTTGAACTGGGGGGGGGGCCTGAAGGGGGGGAGGGGGGAGTTCGAACTGGGTGCCCCCCCGATCCTCCCCAGTGGCAACCGAAGACGGCGAGCGCCAGCGGTGGCGCCCGCGGCGACGGGCAACGACGACGATCGAGCCCTAGTAGGATGGTTTCGGGGCTGGATCTAACCTTAGTAAGATTCTTGGTGCGCTGGATCGAGCCCTAGTAGGATTGAGTTAGAGCTCGATCTAGCTATATTCGGAATCTGTTTTGGAATGGATCAAGCACTAATAGGATCCAGTTCAAGCTGGATCAAGCGATAGTTGGACCCTATAAGAGTTGGACCGAGCCCGGTTAATTAGGATATCATTAAAGTTAGGTCCAGCTGGAGTCGGATTCTATGAGAGCTGGATCGAGCCCGAGTAGGATTCAATGTTGAGCGCTGAATCCAGATATCACCGGTTACTGTTAGAGTTGGACCGAGCCCAGCTAGGAGGATGTCATTACAGTTAGATCCAGCTATAGCAGGGTTCCATGAAAGCTTAATTAATCGAGCACTCATCGGATTCTGTGGAGGGGAGGGGCACGGGGGCAGTTCGACCCCCCCCCCACCCTGGACAGGACCCCTCCCCCCCCGGATCGCCGACCCCCCCTCCATGGGGGGGGGGTAGAAAGGCCAGTATCGGGATCCCCACCGTCTCTCCGAGCGGCTCCCATGTTTTAGGCCCCTCCCCCAGTTCCGATGCGTCCAGGATTTGTTTTATTCGGGGGAAAACAAACCTACCTCGCTTTTAACCACCCTCGCTTCCAAGAGATACCAAACAATGCCAAATTGCGGCCTGTACTGGTCAGGCCGTTTGACGAGGAAGCGCGTGGTATGTCTTGGTTTTGCCTGGAAGCGAAAGCGGGGGAGGTAATTCACGCTCTGATTTATAGTAAGCGTCCACGAACCACGTTCTTTCAAGCAAGCCAGCGGGCGGACCTTGACGGGCTTGTCGGGCGGGTGGGCCCTCGCCGGGCGGGTCCGGCGGGCGGACCCTCTCAGAAAGGTCGGTCGGGCGGAACATCGAAGCGAAGGTCGTAGATCGTGAAGACGTCTCAGGGGAAAGTACTCCAGATCTCGTAATAAAAGGGAGGGGGTCTCAACCCTCCCAGACGAGAAGTTTTAGACCCCCCCCCCGTGGGAGAACCCTCTAAAACATCGTCCCCAGACACCCCCAGGCCCTCCAAGATAGGCTGGATGAGACCCCCCTCCCGAAATGAGACCCCCCTCCCTTTTATTACGAAATCTGGAGTACGGATTCTGAGTACACTGTGAGCACATCGTGCAAGAGAGCGCGATTCCTGGGCGTCGAGGAGGCAGCGTTTAGATGAGTTCTCAACGCTTCGCGCATCCCCACCAGCCCATCCAGAAACAAGTGCAAGGGGAGCTGTTCGAATCAGGGCAAGGCAGGAGCATGCAGTGGCACGGTTGCCTCGGAAGCGTGCAGGGGTGACAGAAGCGGTGGGATTTTTAGCTGGACTGGATGATTGAAAGCACGTTCCCATACCGCGTTGTGTGCCATCGGGATGTCCTGGAGGCGTTATTGGGTTTTTTACCCTCTCGGGGCAGATAGGCTATTTTCTGTAAGAGTCTCTTGGAGGCCCCGTGGGCTCTCTTGGAGTCCGTGGGGCCTCTCGATGGGCTCTCCTGGGGTTCTTCGGGGGGGTCTGGGAGGCCTCTCGGGGCCTTCTTGACCCCCATGGCTCGCAAAGAGGGGGACTAGAAAATTCAGCCTCCCCCCCCTCGGAGGCTAAAACATTGCATCTTGGGTTCCTCTTGAGCCGATCTTGGAGCGCTCTTGAGGCCCTCTGCAGGCCCTCTTGGGTACCTCTCGGGGCCCTCTGCGGCCGTCTCGGGGCCATCTTGAGGCCTCCGAGGCCCATCGGAAGCGAAAAGGCGAGAATGCAAACAACATGGATTATACTTAGGTTTGTTTGTTATTGTGGCATCTTGGGGGAGATCCGTAGAGGGCTCGAAGGGCGCTTCAAACCGTCTTTGGGCCGTCCTGAGGCCTCTTGGATGTGTGTCGGAGGCTATCTTGACACTTTTGAGCTACCTTGAGCAATCTTGGAGGCCACCTTGCGCTCTCAGATGCCCTCTTGGAGCCATCGTGTGCCATCTTGGACGCTCTAACCCCTGGGGAGGGGGTAGGGGGAGTGGGCAAGCTACACACCCGCCCGCAAGCCGTCTTGTTCACTTGATGAAGCCCCTCTTCCGAGAAGGAGATGGAGGTGCTGTGGAAAGAGAGAAGGCAGCAGTTCGTTAGACCACCTATGCCCGGTGATTATTGACGCTTCGCGAACCCCAACCAGATTCCTGCGCGCCATTTTGGCTGCGCTTCAGCTTCGGCTGGCCAATTCACGCGCACGCAATTCGTTTCTTGGTGGTTTTTGGCCCACCCGGCTCAGGCCACCCTGGCAGCCTCTCCAGTCACAGCGTTTGTCCACGTTTTGCATTCAATTCATTGACAGCTTGCAGACCCTAGCAGTCGGTTACCCTGGCAGTGGCAGTCAGCACCCCCCTGCAGCTCGTTGCACGGTTGCAGCCCCTGGCAGTGTTGCAGCCCCGCCCCCTCTTCGGTTACGTCCTAGTCCCGTTCTGAGTGGCGGTGTTAGGCCTGCTTCTGCTTGGTTTATTAGGCCCTCGCGCGGCCCGCTCGGACCCTGACTCGCCGCTGTGCGCTTTCGCTTGCGGCTGCTGACAATATCCCAACCAGATGTTCCGCTTTTCTGCTGCCTAGTCGTGGCCCGGCTAGAGTTTGGACGCCTTCTGACCCGCTTCATGTGGCCGCTGACCAACAAGTATCACAACCAGATCCGTAGCCCCTTGGCTCAAGCCCTCTGGCTCAAGCCCCTTGGCTCAAGCCGTGTCGGCTCGAGGTTGGTCGGCGCGACCTGGGTCCGCTGTTTCCGGGGCCGGCCTGATGGGGCCACCCTCTACACGGCGGCGACGGCTGCGCCGCGCCGCCGCCGCCCGCGCCGCTCCGGCGCGCCGCCCCCTGGCTGGCCCGCCGCGGCCGCCGGCGCCACGGCCAGCCCCATGGCCAGACCCACGGCCAGCCCGGCTGCCATCCCCACGACCAGCCCTACGGCGCCAGCCCGGCTGCCAGCCCTTCGGCCAGCTTGACGGGCAGCCCCACGGCCATTCCCACTGCCGGCCCCGCGGCCACCCCCACGACCAGCCCCGCAGCCAGTCTCACGGCCAGCTTGGCCTCCAGCCCCACGGCCAGCCCCACGGCCAGCCCGACCAGCCCGACGCCTTACCCGCCCTACCCAACACTCTACCTGAGTCCTTGCCTGACGCCGAGTCGCACGGCCAGCCCCACGGCCAGCCCGACGGACGACCCGACGGCCAGCCCGACAGTAAAGCCAACCTCCAGACGGCACTGGGAAGTTCCACCGCGCCCACGCGTCAGCCCTCCCCTGACGAGCGGGACAACGCAGCCATCCTTAAGCTGGTTTCGAGATGCCCTTTCGCCCCTATTCGTCCTCCTTCCCCTGCCAGCGACACGAGCGTTTCCCCTCAAACTGATTTTTCTCTTCCCTCCCTGCCCATGATTCCTCGAGATGCGAAGGCTAGTCGCCTACACCGGGAAGAGTGCGAAATGGGTCGCCTCCACCGGGAAGAGCGTGAAGATAGTCGCGAATCGCTGGAGGAGAAGCAGGAAGAAATCAGGGAGGACCTTGCCGACTGTCCAACACAACCCACTGGCAACGCGACCTCTTGGCACACCCAACCTCGGATTCCAACGGACTCTGCGACGGTCAGTCGCCGCCACCAGGAAGGATGTGATGATGCGAGTCGCAGGGCGAGGGGCAGGGAGAAGACAGGGAGGACTTTGCCGACCGTCCAACACAACCCGCTGTGATTCGTCGAGATGCGACGGTTCGTCGCCTACACCGGGAAAGTTGCGAAATGGGTCGCCTCCACCAGGAAGAGCGCGAAGATATATTGAATCGCAGGAGGAGGAGCAGGACAAATCAGGGAAGATTATGCCGACTGTCCAACACGACCCAGTGGCAACGCGACCTGTTGGCACACCCAACCGCTTGGGATTTCAACGAATTCTGCGACGGTCAGTCGCCGCCACTGGGAAGAGTGTGATGATAGTCGCGAGCCGCAGGGTGAGGGGCAGGGAGAAGACAGAGAGGACTTCGCCGTCCGTCCAACACAGCACGCTGGTAACGCGACCCCTGTGACCACCCAGCCGCCTCGGATTCCAACAGACTCTGCGATGATGACTCTCTCTCTCTCTCTCTCACACACGCACACACACACCCACCGGGATAATTGCGACGGGGGCGCCCAGCCGTCACCCGCCGCTGACTCTTCCAGCCGATGGCGACCCAGTGTCCGAACTACGCTGGCCCAGACGCCCCCGTACGTGCCGCCTGCCCGCGGAGACGGGGCGGGCCTGGACGCATCGCTTACTATGCCCTCGCCTTCCGATGCGAACGGGTCTCGTACGAGCGCAGAGCTCGGCGCGGGCCTAGCAGCGGAGCAGTCGCGTGACGAGTCTTCCTCGGGGGACGGGGCGCTCGCGGACGACCCGCCAGCCCTCGTGGAGCGGGTCTTGGCGTGGCAAAGGATGGGGGGGGCACGCCAGTGGCATGACTTCTGTCGCGCCAACATGGCGATGGGGGGCCCTGGCACCTACGATCCCGTGCGCCACGAGCCTGACGTCCTCCGCCGGTTCCTAGCGCTCGCAGGGAAACGCCCAGACTGCCACGACTATTTCGACCTGGCCCTCACCACGATGAGCCGCCGTTTTCTTATCGAGCGCGTTCGGGGCGTCATTCGCTCGTCCCCGGGTAGCCTTGCACAGTGGGAGTGGCACATTACCGACTACAAGAAGCCTGGCAAATGCAGAGCCCAGCCCTACATTGCACCCATACACGTCATCGTCGCTTTCATGCGTGCTCGCGCCGGGCACGAGAGGACGTCGGTCTACGTTCCCGTGGGCGCGGCAGCGCACTGGGGCTACCACCTACGCTGACCCGCTCCACTTGAGGCCTGGAGTGCCCACCGCGGCCCTGGGGGCCAGCCTGTCGCGCTGCCCTCCCCACGCCGGGTAGTCCTTCGCTGCGCCATAGCTGCGGTCCACTGGCGACCGGGAGGGTTCCGTGAGGTCTCGATGCGAATTCCATGCATGACTACACTGGGGATGGGCGGCCAGGTGACCCCTGGCCTGCTCCTGCTTGGTGTCAGCCTCCACTGGTGACCGTTTGGGTTCCGTGGGGGTTCGCTACGGTGCCGTCCTCTTCTGTGCAAGGGTTTCGGCATGTGTGGCTGTGGGTGCCCGTCGGCTGCTTTCTCCTTCATGGACTTCGCTTTCGACCTGTGCCACCGGGCGTACATGCCAGAGGATCTGCCGTTTGCGGTCCTGTCTGTGACGAGGCTGCCCTTTCTTCACTCCGGCGCCGACACGATGCTGTTCTGTCACCTACGACACGGATGTCGCCCTGATGTGCCTGTCGGACTTGCTCGTTTTCGTCGGGCCCTATGCGGACTCACGCCGGGTGGTCGACCTATGCGTGTTCATGGTCGCGCCGCCGCGCCATTTTGGCTGCGCCTACTTGCTGGTCGCCACCGGGATTTCCACACCACCGGGTTGGGAGTGCCGCTCCTGGTGCACTTATGAGTGGCTGCCCGCGCGCTCGCCGTGCTCCTGTGTTTTTTTGCTGCCTAGTCGCGGCCCGGCTAGTGATCGGACGGCTTTCGGCTTGCTTCGCAAGCCCGCAGACCAAAAGTATCCCAACCAGCTCACACAGCAACGATGCCCGGGCGAGTTGACTTGATCAGGGACGCATGGGAGCGTGGAGGGAAGACAAGAACCCAGAACATATGGGAAATATTGGGAATCTTGTTACGTGTGTGTATTTATGTGTGTGTGTGTGTGTGTGTTCCAGGGCCCCTTCATATACTTCTCCGCCCAGAAGGTTTGTGGGATGGCGAGGAAGTCCCAGGCGAGAGCGCGAGTCCAGAGTAAAGTTGCAAGGACGTTTCGAGCGAGTGCGCGATTCCTAAGTACAGTGTGAGTCCCTCCGAGGCGGGTGCCGTTGCTGCTGTAGCTGGGGGTTCAGCGGCACAGCTCGACGCTAAACATTTCCCTTGCCAGAACATGTCCACGCCCTTGGAGAGGCGATTCTATTGAAAAAACACAATGCAGGCCAGCGAGGGCGATCAGCAGCAATTTGTTGTCTGAAGTGAGAGCTCAGCAACAACAGCACACAGAGATGAGGAGGAGCCAGGACCAGGAGCAAACTCGGGATGCAATATCGATTCCACGCAGGCGCGAGGGCACTGACATGAACTTTGTTTCAACCCTGGCGCGTGTTGCATTCCTTGTTGGCGAGGCGCTGTGCTCAGATCCGCCCCACCGCCCAGGGAATTAGTTCACTTTTCGAAACATGCACAGTGGCAGGTGCCCTCCGCTTTGGCTGCGCTTTCATCGGACATCGAACGCCAAGCTTTATTGGCCCGTTCAGAACCGACGAAAATGAAGGGCTCTAAAAGGCAATATTGTTGAATGTTCCCTCTGGTTCAGCGGTCAGCTCGGCTCTTGAAGGGCAAGATGCCCAAGGTGTTGTTAGGCGGGAGGTTGGGTTCCAGGCATCCGGCCTTGCCCCAGAGGATTTGCCACGAGTGAAGGTTTTTGGCGAGTAGGCGCTGAAGGACGAGCAACAAGGTCCCGAAGCCGGCTCGAGCTGATCTAGATGCGTTGCGTGTTTTCGGTCCGACCCACAATGCATTATTTCTCTCATTATCCTCATCGTCCTGTGTGCTATCGGATCCCATAGACCAAACTGTTCGAGCCGCCGACAGCCCTCGGGGGGGCGTGCAACCACCCAAAGCCCAGGATGATGTTTGACAACATGATCCTGCCTCTCCTCTTGCCCTTCGGCCGAGGCTGGTCCACATCGGCTACAACGAGATCCAGTCGGAGGAGGCGTCGCAGGCCGACAGGGAACCTCTCCTCATGCATTCGTTTTGTTCCTCCACCACGTCGCCCTCCTCCTCCGCCTCCTCTTCCTCCCCCTCCTCTTCCTCCATCCCCTCCTTCCCCCCTCCCCTCCCCTCCCCCTCCGTTTCCTCTTCATCGTCCTCCTCTTCGCCTTCCTCCTTTGGAGCAGATTGTCTTGAAGCATCTAGGACGTGAGTCGCTTTTGACCGTCAGGGTTGAACGTTCATGAGCCTGCTGGTTGTTTGTGGTGGACAAACATATACATATATACACATATATATACATACATATATATATATATATATATATATATATGTGTGTGTATACAAGACTGCAGTGTCGCTTCGCGCCATGCACCTTGGTCCTTGAAGTGTGGTATGCATTCGGAATAGCAGGAAAGTCAAGCCGACAATGTAGCGATAGTTCCTTGTTGCCTTTTCCGGCATCGCCACTATAATAATGTGATTCGTTATCCTTCCTCCATGTTTAGTTTTCCTCATGTTCGCCATACCCTGCGCATTCTCCCCGTCCTCCTCAGCTCTTTATTGCGGAGGCTCCTCCTTGGAGAGCCTCTGAGGGCCTCACAAAAGTTATTTCAAGGTTTCTTAATGCTTTCAGGAGGCCTCCTGGGTGTATTCTGGGGGCCTCTGGGGGCTTCCTCGGGCCACCCTGCCTCCAACCGCGGTCTTCCTGAACGACCGGGTCACGATTTGGAATGCTTCGGAGGGTGTCTTGGGGCCATCTTGGGCCGCCATGGGGCTCTCTGAGGGCCATCTTGGACCCGTGTTGTGCCGTTTGGGGGCTCTCTTGGACTGCCTGGAAGCCCTTTCGGATGTTTGTGGGGCGATGTTGGAGCCTCCCAGGCGGCTTCGGACGCCCAGAAGACCGCCGTCTTGGAGCGTCGGAGCGTCGGGAAGCCGAAAAGAGGAGAACCCCAAAATTCACCAAAAACCAACAGAAAATTAATGATTTGTTGCCTCTTGGGGCCTTCTTGGGAGTGCTCTTGGAGGCCTCTTTGGGGCCGTCCTGGAGGCCTCTTGGGCCATCTTGAGGTCACGTCGGTCACTCTTGGAGCGCTCTTGTGCTGTCTTGGGGGTCTCTGGGACGTCTCCGATGACCCCCCTGATCGCCCCGGGTGTGCTGCGAAGGCTTGTCAAAACGCCCTGCGAGGACCGGGGGGCCGCTTCGAGGCCCGTCCGGAGGGTTCCAAAGCCCCAGATCCCGGGAGTCCGGTTTTGGGGGGGGGGGTGATGGGTTTTCCCTCTCCCCGCCCGGGCTTATAAAAATGTAGGAAGAGGAATACACACACACATATATATATAAATATATATATATATATATAATATATATATATATATATATGTATGAGTAGGCCGGGGGGGGGCCAAAGTCGGTGCCGTCATCCCCCATGGCCGCCCTCCCGAACCTTTGGGGGTCACAGACCCCCCAGGACTGCCCCGGGCCGCTTCCAAGTTGCCCACCCACGCGGGCCGTACAGATGGTCAATAAAGCCTCAAGAGGCCCCGAAGACGCCCAAGAGCGCCCTAAGAGGGCCCGTGAGGGCCCCAAGAGGGCCTTCAAGAGGCAAAAAAGGCCCATTCCCATCGTACAAACGTACATTTTCAGCATACTCGCTGGCTTCGTGTTCACAGTGCCCCAGACGCCCCCGCGGAGCCCCAACACAGCCCAAGAGAGACCCAAGAGGGCCCCAGACGGCCCAAAAGGATCGGCCTGTGGGGCTCACGGAGCCCCCCGAGACGGCCGAAGAGGCCCCAAAGCGGGCCCAGGAGGCCCCAAGACGGCCTCAGGGAGGCCCAAGAGGGCCTCGTTCGAAATCATGCTCCCAGAAGTCTCTCCGGGAACATAATTTCCGGGTTCCGAGGGCGCTCAAGACAGCCTCAGCGAGGCCTCAGAGGGCCCGAGATGGCTTGAAGATGGCCGAAGAGGGCCCCGAGAGCGCTTTCAAGAGGCAAACATCGGCCCATTTCCATCGTAAAACGTATATTGACAGCATATTCGCTGGCTTCGTCTTCGCAGTGCCCCAAACGCCCCCGAGGAGCCCCAAGACAGCCCAAGAGAGACCCAAGAGGGCCCCAGACGGCCCAAAAGGGTCGTCCCGTGGGGCTCACGGAACCCCCCAAGACGGCCCAAGAGGCCCCAAACCCTAGTAGACAAAAAATATATACTGGTAGTGTCTATCTTTGGTGCGCGCCTGCTATGGCGAAACCGCAACGCACCTGAGTCGGAGCGCGCGAAACGCGAGTCTGGTTTTTTTATGTTGTTTTGATATGCAATTCGTGTGACCAAATGAAAATAGACACGTGAATAATAGATATTGTTACCAAAAATAGATACGGAATCAGCTTTTTATGAAAAATAGACACTAATAGACACGTTTCTTAGTTAAAAATAGATACGCGTTGCAATTTCCTTGAGTTGAGAATAGGAACTCATCAAAACAAATAGAAACTGGTTCGAAAAAATAGATACTGATGGATTCGGCGCGCGCCGAAATCTTGGCCGAGCCCAAAAATAGACACTCCCAACTCCGCTGAAACTCGAGAGGTTAAAAGATTGGGTGGTTCCCTGGGGATTCCTAAGGATTCCCGAAGGATTCCTATGGATTCCCTAGGGATCCCCTCGGGATTCCGAAGTGTTCCTGAAGGCTCGCTGAAGGATTCCCGGAGGATTCCTGCGGATTCCCTATAGGGAGTCCTAAAGATCCCCGAGGGATTCCTGAGGATTCCCTATAGGGATTCCTACAGATTTCCCTTTGCTTTCCTGAAGGTTTCCCCTATATGTTTGCAAAGGATTCCCCAGGGATTCCTAAGGATTTCTGGCGGATTCTTTAAGATTCCTCACGGATTCCTAAGGATTCCAAGGAATTCCAATGTATTCCTTAGGGGGTCCTAAGGATTGCCAAGGGGTTCCATAGGATTCACCCGGGATTGCTCCTGATTTCCTAAGATTTCCGAACGCTTCCTGAGGATTCTTTAGCATTCCCTAGGGATTCCTAAGGATTCCCAAACAGATTCCTCTGAATTCCTGAAAGGTTCCTTAATGATTCTCATAGGATTCCTTAGGATACCCGAAAGATTCCCTACGGGATTCCCTCAGGGTACCCGAAAGATTCCCTAAGGATTCCCTCGGGATTCCGACAAATGTGTGTTACAAGATGTTGCGAAACGCTGCTCCTCCCCCACCTGTTGTTCCTCATCCTCCCTCTCCTCCTGCTCCTCCTCCTCCTCCACCTCCACCTCTTCTCCTCCCTCCTCCGCTTCTATGGGCGTTTCATCATCATCATCATCATCATCATCATCATCATCATCATCATCATCATCATCATCATCATCATCATCATCATCATCATCTTCATCTTCGTCATCGTCATCGTCATCGTCATCGTCATCGTCATCGTCATCACCATCATCAGCAGCATTGTCATCATCAGCAGCAGCATCAGCATCATCGTCATCATCATCATCATCATCATCAGCACCATCAGCACCATCAGCATCATCATCAGCATCCTCATAGCAGCCAGCATCCGCATCATCGTCATCATCATCATTATAATCAGCATCATCATTATCATCATCATTATCATCATCATCATCAGCATCATCAGCATCATCATCATCTCCCTCCGCCTCCTCCTCGTCCTCCTCCTCCTCCTCACTCCTCCTCCCTCCTCCTCCTCCTCCTCCTCCTCCTCCTCCTCCTCCTCCTCCTCCTCCTCCTCCTCCTCCTCCTCCTCTTCCACAGCCTCCTCCTCCAGTGCCGTCTCGGAGGTCCCCGAGTGGGCCCTGCGCGGGCCTCAAGAGGAGTCAAAATGAAACCGTGCGAGAAGCTTCTCGCGTGCCTTTATTTCGACTGGGGGTTGACCCCCTTGGAGCCCTTGTGGGGGCCCTCTTGAAACATGTTCGGGGCTCTCCAGCGAGGTCTCGGAGGGGCCCCAACTGGCTCCAAGAGGAACCAAAGAGGAGTCCACGAGGGCCCCAGCGGTGTACATGACTCGAGGTTGTAATTTCATTCACCCCTTGAACCCTTTCGGGCCCTCTTGGAACCGTCTAGGGGCGCTTCGAGATTCATGGAGGGTCCTGGAGGGCCCCCTGAGTACCCCAAGAGGGCCGAAAAAGGGGTCCGAGAGGGGCCCAAGAGGGCCTCAGCAGTGTATATGACTCGAAGCTCTGTATTTACTTACCCCAGGCGCCCTCTTGGGGCCCTTCAAGGCCCTCCACACACAAACGTATGCGCGCACGCGCGCGCGCGCACGCACGCACGCACGCACGCACGCACGCACGCACGCACGCACGCACGCACGCACGCACACACACACACACACACACACACACACACACACACACACACACACACACACACAAACACACAGACACAAAACACACAACATAACACAACACGACACAACACAACACAACACAAACACACACACACACCCACACACACACACACGCGCGCACGTACGCCATACACTTCCGCGCGCACCCATACACATGCACATATCGACACATGCATACAGGCCCATGCAGACGTTCACGTGCACGCATCCACGCCACCTTCGATTGAATGTCGTGGACTGTTTGAAGCTGGTCTTCTCAGCTCTACTATGGTCGCCAATGCGTGCTTTGAAAATAGATACTGTTGTTCAGAAATGGATACTAAATAGATACTAGTTAGACACTAATAGACACGGAAAACTTGCAACACAGCCGATGCACAAACATATTTTTAGACACTGTCCGAAATAGATACTTTTATATACTATGACCACAAGGCCTCAGCGGGAGCACGATCATTTCTAAAAGCGTCTATTTCTTAAAAATAGATACCAATAGATACTGTGTGCGCGGCGCCTCGACGGGAAGCTCAGAATTTCTAAAAGTGTCTGTTCTTGTTTTCGGCTGTCTACCAGGGAAGCCGGCCCAGGATGCCCCCAAGACGGCCTCCGGGAGGCCCAAGAGGCCTCGAAATCG